CAGAGGCGCAAGTTTGATTTTGTCGAAAACTATGAATTATTCAAAATATATATATGTATATATAGTTTATTAGGGAACATAATTAGTATAGAAATGATATTCATAAAAAAATGGTGTATGCAGAGAGACTTTCCGCACCACGAGCATCTAACTACCGCAACATTAGAACAACCATCAACTTCACATTTTGGATTAGAAGATTGTCCAAACGCAAAATCGACAGGATTATCAAATTCCTCTGGTTTTTTAGCGATGTAGCCACTCTGGAACCAAGCGTAACGAAATAGGTTTTGATACCTCGGTGATGATAATTGATTATGGACTAAAGATTGCAATTTGATCACATTATTCCGCGCATGCAAATTGATATCATGATTTAAGAGAACAACCGTATCTGAAAAATGACGGACGTAATTTTTCCAAATCCTGAAGCCGTACACATCAAGAGGTTGAATTTTTCCGGTAGTTCCTTTGGGGATTAACATAGTTAATAATTCTTTATTCCGAGGAGTTGCCTGTTCTATCACCTGAGAGCAATGTCCACTCCATGAACCGATTAACAGTAGACTTTTTGGTCCCACGTTTGGAAAGAATACTTCTTCCAGCCAAATTTTAAAATGCTCTGGAATAGTTGCAATGGGATGAACATTACAATCAGTACAAATAAGTTTGTTACATCTTAAGTTTGAAATATCGTCTTACCAGACGTCAATTTCCCTAGCTTTGAAGCCGTTATGTAAACATTAGAAGGTCTGAATAGATTCTCCTGAACCCTTGGACCAAACATTCTGGAAGGTTCCTTGTAAACAATGAAGAGAGGTGACAATAATTTTCCATCTGCTGATATGGTGGGTTGTATGGTATAACTGTGTGTCCTTGATGTTACAGATTGTACAATGCATGAGACTTCTTTAGACCCCTCTTCCGCCAAAGCTCGCCCCGAATGCGTTTCTAATTGGAAACCGCTCTGATCAGAATTATAGATGTTTTGCAAGCCATAAATCTCAAAATATGTTTTGATCTGTTGCAGGAATTCGTCCGCTGTTTTTTGTAAATCTTTTTGATTTTCCATTGTTTTACGTGTGACGAATTTAGTAATCTTGCGAGATGTGATGCGATGAGCTCTTTTGAAGTAATGTAGCCACCATCCCGAGGCCTTGAAACGAATATCTTGATATCCAATATCTCATTGAGCTTGCAGAGCCTATCTTCGTAGGTCGGCATCATGAATAATGAGCCCCGCATCGATAGAATTTTTCATATTTTTCAACGTGTACTCTGCTATTCGTTTCAACTTTTCCATATAAGTTCCTCCTTTATTGACTTGATGTGCCCAACGACGTAATTGCTGGACCGATTTCACTCTTTTGAATTTATTGGAAACAGTTTTTATAAACAGTATCCGACTGCTCTTTTTTGCTTCCGAAGGGAAGCATTATTTTTGGTCGATTTTTCGATTTTCTAATTTTCATTGAAAATGATCTAGAATGTCATGAAACGTGAAAAAATGATGTTTTTGAGGTTGCGTCTGTACGTATGTATGTGCAGAATGGCTGTTTTGGGGGTTTATTTTTAGAAATTTTAACATAAATACGGTGAAATTCGCAGATAAAAACTTGAAATTTTTACTGATGATAGCTATGAATAAGCCCCACTTTGTGGCTCCATTTGGGCTCAATCGGTCCAGTAGTTCCTGAGATATTGCCAATTGTTTAAATTTCGTTTTTCAGCTATATCTCCTCAATAAATGCACCGATTTCAACTTTTTTTTTTCAAAATATTCGTCTCGATGATCTCTACCTGAATCATTCATAATACATAGACCAATCACTGCTGAGTCTAGGAATATTGCCGTTAATCGGTTTTTTTGTGAAAAACGTTGTGCGCGCGATAACTCGATAAAAAATGATGATTGGAGAGCTGGACTGGTTGAGGTCCACTGCGTACGCTGAGCCAACGAGCTGGTCCCCGTAGGTTGAGCACCACTGACCGCGTCACTTCCACTTCCGCCAAAACCCAACAAAAAAAACCGAAAACCGAAAAATATTCCACCGATCCGGCTCGAAGGACCAAAATGTTTGATGAGATGCCTGGATCAGGGAATTAATTGTGCGGATGGATGAGTTGGAGTCGGATTACGGGGAGTGGGATGAGTAGAACCAAGAAATGAGCGGAACACGTGCACGTGGTCACAAATTCACTGTATTTTGTCAATATTTATAGTTATTTACACTGTCACAATAAATAGAGTCACTGAGCAGACCGTAAATAATGAGCCGACTAATTCCTTGAATTAATAATAACTGAGCTGACACAATGAGTTAGTCCGAGTCACTAGAGATGAGCAGTACAATAAAAGAAGTGTCTGTAACTCGATCCCGGAAACGAATGAGAGAGAGACACGGGCTTACAAGTGCCACGTGC